TCTCTCTCTCTCGAAGATTTATATTTATCATATGATTTTTGTATTTAATCGTTACATTAATTTAGTCCACAAAAAACCATTTGACGACTAATGTATAGAATTTGCATTGATTTGATTCGCAGATCCGCCGATCTGTAAGTCCGTACAGAGAGTGCACTACGGAGTGGCCAAACACGAAGAGGCGAGGATTGAGTGCGAAGTGGACGCCGACCCGAGCGAACTCGTCTTCCACTGGGCTTTCAATAACAGCGCCGACGAGAGTCTGGACGTCATCTCATTCGCCACCGAAGGCAAGAAGAGTGTCGCCACTTATACACCGCGTGTGGACTTAGATTACGGCCGACTCTACTGTTGGGCGCAGAACAGCGCCGGCAGACAACGCGAGCCCTGTGTCTTTTTCGTCATCGAAGCCGGTATTTCAGACCACTGTTTGAATTATCAAATGGTTTTCATCTTTATATACATGTTTTTTGGCCCGAAGGACCGCCCGATCCGCCCGACAATTGTTCGGTGACTAACATAACCATACATTCGTTGACCATTGAATGCCTTCCCGGCTATTCCGGAGGATTGGATCAGATGTTTTATCTGGAAGTGTTTAGCGCCAATCCTAACCGTATTTATGTCAATATGAGTTCACCGGAGTATCCCTTCTTCATCGCCCACGGCTTACCCGCCGGAAGCGCTTTCCGACTGGTCTTGTATTCAATCAATAATAAAGGCAAGAGTCGGAGCATCGCTATGACCGGCAGTACACTATTGGCAGCTCAATGGCAATCAGGTATTCAAACTCGTCAATTGTTATATAATATAGTTATATAACTAATATCACATGAATTGTAAAGTTTCTAGTGTTTTAAACTCAATATTTTTAGTGTTTCTAATACTTTGTTTATAAACTTTGTTGAGTAAATGCTTCACAAATCCATTGAAAATATTTATCGATTATTTTTATCTCGCATTTTACTATCGTTTAGTATATAAATATATTTACTATGAATACTTTTTGACGAATAGTGTATTTATTTAGAGGTAATTTTTATTCACGGATAATGTAATGTAAAACTAAAGACGTATTGCTTTTAAATCAGTTGTCACTCAACATAGAAATGGCATTTTATAAGTCGGTTCACAATTGACGCCGAAATGCATTTCCCTTTAGACCAGCGCTGGATATAAATCACTCACAAATAGATTCTTCAGACAATTTTGTTTTCTATTTCCACTTATATTCCGTAGAAATACACAACGATTTTACACTATTTTTATACAGTGTATTGAAAAACCTTTCAGCTGTCGATTCGTTCAACAGTTTTTATTAAATAAAGTTTTTCACTATTTTTGGACTTTTATTTATTTAAATATTTATAAATAAAACCCAAAGTTTTATATTTGAATATTTCTTTCAGTAACTGTTTGTTTAAGTGTACTATTTATCGATTTAATAGTTTAGCGTTTATTTAAATTGTTTATATTTATAAATATAGTTATTAAATGAATTAGCATTTTATTAAAAGTAAAGCAAATTAATATATTCTTTGATTTATAACTAAAACAATGCATTTATTGATCTGATGTGCAGATGATTTGGAGCCGATAGTGATTAGTCCGCTGTTGGCTCTTCTCATGGCTATCGTCGGTGTCTTAATACTATTGGCAGTCATTATAATAATGATAATGAAATTCAAAGCCGAAGACAATATAACGCAAAGTGAGTATTGATTGCAATTAACAATCGATTTATATCTCAAATGACTTATAATTTGATTCTCTTATAACAGACGCCGAAAAGATTGCCATCAATTCAAGCAATCGCTCAAATGATATGTAAGACTAGAATTATTTTCTTAATTAAACTCTTAATTGGTTTTTATATTTTTATTGTTTCGAGAGTTTTATTTTTATTGAAGTAATTTTCTGTTCAACTTTTTTGGGAACATAACTAACAATATTTTTTTCGCATTATATAGTAAGGGATCGAAAGCCTCTAATCGTAAACTCTATACAATGGACGACAATTGTCCCGATATTATACTCTCTGATATCATTCTCACCACAAAAGGTATTATTAAATACGAATAGAGATTTTACCATAATTTATGTGATATATAAGTGAATATTATTTAAAAATAAAGTTCCGTTTTTATACACAAATAAAATAACTTTATTCATATCAAAGAATATTCTGTAATAAATGCTTTCATATGTTTTGATGTCATAACTCTGTTAGAGAACAACACAATGGATAGCAATCACACAAAGACTACATGTTTTATAAGCGATAAGACGTCGTCTCTCATCGTTCCTCCGCCCGACTCTTTTCATGACAAATATGACCCAAATTTATATAACAATCAACTCATTAACACAACACTGACCACCACTACAGCCGATATGTCATCTCCCAGTCCTTCCACATCCACTCTGACCAACAGCACAGACCCCTTACGCCTTCTCTGTAACGTCAAACACAACCACACAATCAATGTATGGAATAAGCATTTTATAGATTACTTTATATTCAATTATTCTGTAAAATGAAATTCAATTTTGGTATTAATTAATTTTTCCCATTTATTATTGAAGACAAACAACCGGTTGACTTACGCCGAAATAATACTTCCAAACGATAATCACATGGATTGGGAGAATCACAAGAGTATTCTCGGTATGAATGATATCAACGATTACAGACATCGCTCACAATCGCCGCACGTATTGCTCGGCGCCAAAGGGAACCGAACCGTCGGAACCCTTTCCCGTCGATCCGACCAGACATCAGATGAGGACAGCATTAGTGTCGTCACCACTACTAACACACCCATTATGTCCATGAATGCCAAGAATGACAACACAACTGTTGAGTCCATACATGTATATATGAGTCCATAATATACAACAATTTTTCACTTCATTTCAATTGTTTTCTGCTTTGATTTTATAATTTTTTAAAATTATTTACTGAATAATCATTATTTTTGTTAATATTGATTTTGTTGTCTCTTTAGTGGGTTATTATGGATAACGACGGCACGGATTTTCCTACTCTTGTCTAAAGTGTTGACAATTTGATGGATAATTGTTTTGATTTACAAAACACATGATATGTGCCATAATATGAATAAATCTAGCGATGAATTTAATGGCAAATTAAATATTCATTTCATAATTAATATAAAATTATAATAGAAATAACGCCAACCGAAGTGTCCTTTTATATTGAAACACAATTTTGTGTAAAAATAATATCAGAATTTTTATATTAATTTTTTAAAATTATATACTAAACTAATTAGAAAATATATAATCATATAATTGTTACAATCTTTATAAAATTGTTCTCAAATGTCACACAATCTTTAGTTAACGATTAAATTATTATGTATTAATTTTTTAAATAGTATTATATCTTAATTTTTATATCAAATTAATAAAGTTTTATTAATAAATTACAAAATAATGTTTGTAATGAGAAAATATTAATTTAAATATTTAATTGTAGTAAATGTACTATTGGTTTGCTATTCTGTAAAACTTGTGCCCAAAACATGGTTTTCAATAGAAGTCGTAAACGCGAAGAGAAGTGAGTTTTGATCCGACTTTTGATTTGCCATCGATTAGTGAAGAGTCAATCGGGAGACCAATTGAGACACCAATGGCTGAATAGAAATGTGTTCCGAACCGATGACTGCAACCACCAGTGACTTGACTATTGGTCTAACGGATGAATCCATGACCAGTCGGTGCCTGACTGTGGCTGCGGTGAGGGTTGGGGTGAGAGTAGAGGTGCGGACACTTCGGAAGCATAACGTGACCATTGGTTTAGTAGACATACGGATGTATGGGTACAACCGGTCGGTGTTTAACGCTCCCGAAGAGTCCCGAAGACGTGGCCATCCTATCGATGACTCCAACCATCAGTGACTTGACTATTGGTCTAACGGATGACTCCATAACCAGTCGGTGTCTAACTGTGGCTGCGGTGAGGGTTGGGATGAGGGTTGAAGTGTAGACTCTTCAGAAGCATAACGTGACCATTGGTTTAGTAGACATACAGAAGTATGGGTACAACCGGTCGGTGTTTAACGCTTCCAAAGAGTCCCAAAGACATTACGATTGACTAAAGTGTCCAACGATTCAAACACTTGTGAAATACATTTTCATGTTTTTATTGTTTAAGAAAATAACAATTTTTAAAATTAAAAATTATTTATACTTTTTATTACAACATAGAAATACAAATTTCATACAAATTATTCATTTTTAAGATGATTTGAAACCTTATTATCAATGCTAACAACCATTGGTTCGTATAAGACATGAGCCGTTTGTTGTCTATTATAATAGTCGTAAAGAGTTATGGGAACCGCTTTATTGTCGGCCACTCTATGCACTCTATGGGCCGTATTGTCAGACAGATATCATTGTTGGCCTCCGTCTCCCACCACATATAATCGTCGCTTGTTTTGGCCAAACTCTTCAATTTGTCAAACCCTAGATCACTGAACCCACTGTTAGCCAAATTCAAGGCATTCACTTTGAGTGACAGGTCGTACGGACTGTTATTGGCTTTCAATTTACTCCTGATATAAGTTACAGATTTAGTTGAATATGTTTTGCGTGTTTTAAAGTAATCTCGTTTACAAACTCTTTGTATTTGATTATAACTCCATTACAAAAATATCAATAAATTTTTTACGCAAATAGTAATTAGAAATTTAATTGTATTATAAAAATGAGAGATTTTTTATTAAAAACAATAACAAACAAATTATTAACAATTTTTAAAACTATAAATATTAAGGAAATTAATGTTGCAATTGTTGGCCCAACTTTGCCTCCAAAATCCGATTCTCAAGTCTTAAAGCACTCAATCGGTCCCACTTTTTGGACATTACTTTTGATATGTATCTCAATTTGTCTTTGATATCACGATTGTCTTCAGCCAACGGCATGTTATTTGGGTCGTCGAGTGAGAGATCGGCATATGTTTGGCTGACATGAGCCTCAAACTCATCCATTTCTCGCACCCATGTCTTTGCGGTTGTAATCACATCCATACAGTCATCGGTGGTCAGTCCGGCAGTGCTATGCGTTTCGTTAGACAATTGCTTCAAATGTGTGACAATTCTATTGATTATTTGCAATATTTTACAAGAATTTGTTTTGTATGTATTGAATGAATTGTTTGGATCGCTTTCTTCAGCAAAGTTTGATTCAATCCAATCGACAATGTCTTCGATATTATCACACATTTTAAACAAGAAATACAAATCCGTTTATGTTATAGATTTGAATGTTAATGAAAATGACAACAATTAATACACTAATAATAAATTAAAATTCAATTGTAATTTGAGTCTAATTTTTATAACAAAATCTTATCAATATTTCAAGTGATTGTAAATAATTGATGGTTTAATTGCAATAACCGTTTAGTAACATAAAAATCCTTTTTAATGTTAACACAATTGACATGTTTTATACTTCATTTGAAATCACTATTAATAGCGTAAATATCGAGACATTAATTCAAATCAAACACTATATGTCTCGCAAATCAGTTAATTGTTTGCATTTAATTTTACAAAAAGTTGTGTTTGAATATAAAATAATGTATAAAATGCTTATTCCATACATTGATTGTGTGGTTGTGTTTGACGTTACAGAGAAGGCGTAAGGGGTCTGTGCTGTTGGTCAGAGTGGATGTGGAAGGACTGGGAGATGACATATCGGCTGTAGTGGTGGTCAGTGTTGTGTCTATGAGTTGATTGTTATATAAATTTGGGTCATATTTGTCGTGAAAAGAGTCGGGCGGAGGAACGATGAGAGACGACGTCTTATCGTTTATAAAACATGTAGTCTTTGTGTGATTGCTATCCATTGTGTTGTTCTCTAACAGAGTTATGACATCAAAACATATGAAAACATTTGACAACACATCCAATCAAATGAGATGTCGGACTAAAACTCACTTCTCTTCGCGTTTCCGACTCTTCTATTGAAACCATATTTTGGGCTAAAGTTTGACAAAAACCTTTCAAACTTTTCAATGGAATCGTCGAATGGATTGCAAACCAACACTACATTTGAGTCGAGCAGTGATGCGAACATTACATCCATTCAATCATTATATGTTTGTTTCGATTAAAAAGTTTTTGAAAAATGTAAACTTATTTGTATTTCTCAATGAATCGATGAATTGAAGGACAAATTCAAGTCATTAGTTGCTATCATCTGTTTATATATGTTATCTTCATTTAATCCACATTTTGAACATTATTTTATGCACACTTCTAGTCATGTCTTTAGATATGTTTAAATTGGATAAACATTTAAACTATTCATTCATTCAATGATATAATTAATTGTAAACTTTTTTCTCAAAGACAATAAAGTGTTTGAAAACATAAATATCAATACATATAATGCAAAAGTGATGTCCAATGGTCTCAGACAACGGTTCCATTGGTTAAACATTATGAAAGTCTTCTCTCAAACTTAATTAAACTCCTAATTGTTTTTTATATTTTATTGAAATAATTATTGACACAAAACGTATTATGAAATCCTAATAGAGATTTTTACCATAATTTATGCGATATATAAGTAAATATTATTTAAAAATAAAGTTCCGTTTTATACAAAAATAAAATAAACACAATTAACTGAATTGCGAGACATTTAGTGTTTATTGAATTTGATTTAAAATAATGTCTCGTTATTTACGCTATTAATAGTGATTTCAAATTAAATATAAAACATTTCAATTGTGATATCGTTTAAAAGGATTATCATTTCACTCAACGGTTATTGCAATTAAATTATCAATTATTTGCTGTCTTTTATTTGTTGTGCTTTAAGACAATCAAACTATGGGTTGCTTTCCATCGAAGAGATCCAAAGATCAAAGAATGGGAAAGACATCAAAACTTGAGCCACAAGTGGATCCCAATCAACACAAACACCAAACGCCGTCCAAACAGGAGCTCAAGAATCACATGAAAATGAATCCAAACCACGAGTCGCAGCACATGACGGCCACCGATGACGGCATCCGCCACACCAATGACACGACCCCTCACACGCAAGCGGTGCCCACCAATGCCTCGTCCGCCACAACGACAACCACCGCCGCGGCTGTCATTCCGTCAGAGGTGTCCACTCTTTCCAATACCAGCGCTAAGAATGAGACCAAAATGAATGTGTTTAAGGACTCGTTAATGAGTAATAACCCGACGGACAGCGAAGTGAACTCCGATTTGAATGCAATGTTAAGCGTCGGCGGCGCCCATCAGTCCCTCATATGTTCTAACGGCCCAACACTTGAGTGCGAATTCAATGAAAAGACCGAAACAATGGCCAAAATGTGGAACAAATATAAGCGGAAAAAACAATGTCCGTACGTCAGAGTAAAGTGTAATGAACTCAACGATTGCCTCAAAACAGAGAGAAATATCTTCAAAATCGTGAGTTTTGCCAAACAGGAGACAATTGCCGTCAAACAACTGGATGTGATTGAGAACGGATTGAATGCTTACAAAGATGTAACGAGTGTTCACTTTAACGATATAAAGGAACTCATCATCCATTCCGGGAGTTATTGTAAAGAAGTGAGAATTTCGTTGGAATCCGATTCAAACCTTACAATAAGCGAAGACATCGTGAAATCCAATCTCTCAATGAATGGTATGTTTAATATGATTGCAATTTATTGTCAATTAATAATACATTCATTTATTTACAGATTATCCGAGAGTTTTGTCATTCATAGCGTTTACTGAATCGGAGGCCACGAATGCCTTCAACACTGAAGTCAATGATAGCTCCCTTCAGAAGGAGTTCAAGTCTTTCCGCGTAAGTCTTATGGCCGCCAATGCGGGCGAGAAGTACTTTAAACTGATCTCCAAATACTATTGAATTCATTATCAGTTTATAATTAACTCTTTAATTAAACTAAACATTGTGTGACATTTTACAACACTTTTATAAAAATTGTAACAATTAAATGATTATAAATCTTCTCATTAGTTTAGTATATAATTTAAAAAAATTAATATAAAAATTCTGATATTATTTATTTACAAAATAATGTTTCAATATAAAAGGACACTTTGGTTGGCGTTATTTCTATTAATAGTTTTTATTAAGTATGAAATGAGTATTTAATTTGCCATTAAATTCATCGCCAGATTCTCTCATATTATGGCACACATCATGTGTTTTGTAAGTGAAAACAATTATCCATCAAACACTTTAGACAAGAGTAGGAAAATCCGTGCCGTCGTTATCCATAATAACCCACTAAAGAGAGCAGAAAACAATTGAAATGCAAGTTTGTTATATACATGTATGGACTCAACAGTCGTGTTGTCATTCTTGGCATTCATGGACATAATGGGTGTGTTAGTAGTGGTGACGACACTAATGCTGTCCTCATCTAATGTCTGGTCGGATCGACGGGAAAGCGTTCCGACGGTTCGGTTCCCTTTGGCGCCGAGCAATACGTGCGGCGATTGTGAGCGATGTCTGTAATCGTTGATATCATTCATACCGAGAATACTCTTGTGATTCTCCCAATCCATGTGATTATCGTTTGGGAGTATTATCTCGGCGTAAGTCAACCGGTTGTTTGTCTTCAACAATAAATGAGAAAAATTAATTAATGGCAAAATTGAATTTAATTTTACAAAAGTTATGATTGAATACAAAATAAGTGATAAAATGCTTATTTCACACATTGATTGTGTGGTTGTGTTTGTGTTTTAATAAATGCTAAATGATTAGTTCCATAAATAGTACATTTAAACAAACAGTTATTGAAAATATATATACAAAACTTAAAATTTGGAATTATTTATAAATATTTAAATATATAAAAATCCATAAATAATGAAAAACTTGATTTACTAAAAACTGTTGAATGAATTGACAGCTAAAAGATTTTTCAATATATTGTATAATAATTGTGTAAAATTGTTGTGTATTTCTACGGAATATAAGTGAGAATAGAGAACAAAATTGTCTAAAGAATCTATTTGTGAGTGATTTATATCCAGCGCTGGTCTAAAGGAAAATATATTTCGCCATCAATTGTGATCCGACTTATAAAATGCCATTTCTATGTTGAGTGACAACTGGTTTAAAAGTAATACAATTTATAATATAAATAGAAATTTATTATATATTATATAAATAGATGATAACAACTAATGGATTGCATTTGTCTTTCAATTCATCGATTCATTGAGAAATAAATATAAAAACGTTTACATTTTGTCAAAACTTTTTATTGAAAGCAAACATATAATGATTGAATTGACGTAATGTTCGCTTCAATGCTTTACTCGTATTTAGTGTTAGTTTGCAATCCATTCGAATTGGCGGCCATTAGACTCTCGCGAAAACTTTTGAACTCTTTCTGAAGAGAATTATTAGTGACTTCAGTGTTGAAGGCATTCGTGGCCTCCGATTCAGTCAACGCAATGAAAGACAAAACTCTCGGATATGCTGTAAATAAATGAATGTATTATTAATTGACAATAAATTGCAATCATATTAAACATACCACTCATTGAGAGATTGGATTTCACGATGTCTTCGCTTATTGTAAGGATTGAATCGGATTTCAACGAAAGCCTCACTTCTTTACAATAATTGCCGGAATGAATGATGAGTTCCTCGATATCGTTAAAGTGAACACTCGTTACATCTTTGTAAGCATTCAATCCGTTCTCAATCACATCCAGTTGTTTGACGGCAATTGTCTCCTGTTTGGCAAAACTCACGATTTTGAAAACATTTCCCTCTGTTTTCAAGCAATCGTTTAGTTCACTACACATTACTCTCACGTAAGGGCTTTGTTTTTTCCGCTTATAGTTGTTCCCCATTTTGGCCATTGTTTCGATCTTCTTATTGGATTCGCACTCAAGTGTTGGGCCGTTAGAACATATGAGGGACTGATGGGCGCCGCCGACGGTTAACATTGCATTCAAATCGGCGTTCATTTCGCTATCCGTCGGGTTATTGTTGAGTAACGAGTCCTTAAACACATTCATTTGGATCTCAGTCTTAGCGCTGGTATTGGAAAGAGTGGACACCTCTGACGGAATGACAGCCGCGGCGGTGGTTGTCGTTGTGGGGGACGAGGCATTGGTGGGCACCGCTTGCATGTGAGGGGCCGTCTCATTGGTGTGGCGGATGCCGTCATCGGTGGCCGTCATGGGTCGCGACTCGTGGTTTGGATTCATTTTCATGTGATTCTTGAGCTCCTGTTTGGACGGCGTTTGGTGTTTGTGTTGATTGGGATCCACTTGTGGCTCAAGTTTTGATGTCTTTCCCAATCTTTGATCTTTGGATCTCTTCGATGGAAAGCAACCCATAGTTTGATTGTCTTAAAGCACAACAGATAATAGACTGTAAATAATTGATGATTTAATTGCAATAACCGTTGAGTGAAATGATAATCTTTTTAAACGATAACACAATTGAAATGTTTTATATTTAATTTAAAATCACTATTAATAGCGTAAATAACAAGACATTATTTCAAATCAAATTGAATAAACACTAAATGTCTCGCAATTCAGTTAATTGTGTTTATTTTATTTGTGTATAAAACGGAACTTTATTTTTAAATAATATTTACTTATATATCGCATAAATTATGGTAAAAATCTCGATTAGGATTTCATAATACGTTTTGTGTAAATAATTATTTTAAAAAAAATATAAAAAACAATTAGGAGTTTAATTAAGTTTGAGAAAACACTTCCATAATGTTTAACCAATGCAACCGTTGTCTGAAACCATTGGACATCACTTTTACATTATATTTATTGATATTTATGTTTTCAAACACTTTATTGTCTTTGAGAAAAAAGTTTACAATTAATTAAACCATTGAATGAATGAATAGTTTAAATGTTTATCCAAATTAAACATATCTAAAGAATGACTAGAAGTGTGCATAAAATAATGTTCAAAATGTGGATTAAATAAAGATATCATATATAAACAGATGATAGCAACTAATGACTTGAATTTGTCCTTCAATTCATCGATTCATTGAGAAATTCAAAAAAGTTTACATTTTTCAAAAACTTTTTAATCGAAACAAACATATAATAATTGAATGGATGTAATGTTCGCTTCACTGTTCGACTCAAATGTAGTGTTGGTTTGCAATCTATTCGACGATTCCATTGAAAAGTTTGAAAGGTTTTTGTCAAACTTTAGCCCAAAATATGGTTTCAATAGAAGAGTCGGAAACGCGAAGAGAAGTGAGTTTTAGTCCGACATCTCATTTGATTGGATG